CAGGCTCTGTCCAGCAGCTGCATGCTTACAAAATCAGTTTACTTACAATGAATCTGTTGCAACTGGATGTATTAGAAGGAATGAATGTGAAAGCACAGTCATGCCTTTTATCTGTCTCTATACATTGCCCGATAAAAGCTGTGGACAAAGGACATCTGTGTCCTTTTTTCCTGTTGGAAATTCCTCTTTCTCTCAGGACTCTCTCATTTTTCTTTAATTTTCATTTCCCCCTAATTTCCCACTGTTGTGTAATAGTTCTTTTGAAATTTGAAAGAGATTTGTTTATTTTATGTGTGGGAATGTTTGCTGGCATGTGTGTCAAAGCCTGCTTTCACATGGCTTATACCAAGGAGAGTCCCTGTCTTTAACTCTCATTGACATGGGACAACAAACTTGGGATCACTGTTACAAATGGAACCTGATGACAGTGAAGATCTTAGAACAGTGGGACAAGCTCAACTGGGCAAGAGAGGCCTTGTCACTCTCAAAAATCTTGCCTCAAGACCATGAGTCAATTAAAAAATAAAATAAGATAAAGTAGAAAACACATTTTGGCTTCTGGTTCCAGATTTTTCCATCCATGGATTCCTGTCTTCATGGCGGTGGAGCAGAGTACCATGGTGGTAAGCAGGTTGTTTGTTTCATAATGACCAAACAAACAAACAAACAAACAACCCCCCACCACAACAAAACATAAAACCCCCAAACAAACAAACAAACAAACAAACAAAACCACTACCAAGAAAACAAACAAAAAAACTGAATGAGAAAGGAGCCTCAAAAAAAAAGATATAGCTTCCTAGGCCGTTGTTCTAATTATCTCCTACAACTGGACAATATCTCCTAATATTCACACTACGTTTCAATGCCAAGTTCAACACAGGAACCTCCTGGGAGGATATTTATATTGAAACCGTGACTGTTGGGGCTTCTGAACTTCAGGGCTTGCTGTCCGTTGTAGATAAGGTGACTGTACCATGTCCCATTTGCTCAGACTGGGGATAGCATCTCAGGTGGCCTGCAAAGGTTTCCTTAGAAGTGGTCAGCAGAGACAGTCTCCTAGCTCCCGCTCCTTCCCACGAACAGAGTGGGCTGACAGTAAAGTGCTCAAACGAGAAACACTTAATTCAAGACAAATAACCTTATACAGAGAAAACATCACGCAGGAGTGATAATTCAAATGGAATGGATTAGAATTCTCTGTAGCAGCAAGGTGCCATCTGAAAATGGATTGTCTACTCCAGGAATAAAATGAGTTAAGTCCTCAGACAGATGATTATTCACGTAGGAGGTACTGGTTTACTGGGAACCTATGCACTTTCCTGTCTCTGAGCTGCGTCTAGCTTGATGTCAGCAGCTCTACCGAGAATGTTTTCCCAGTTGCTGGATGCCACCCACTGATTAAGTAAAGGAGCCAGTAGGGACAGTCCCAAAACCTCACCAAAGCACAGCTGAATTAAAAAAAAAAAAAAAAAAAGTGGGATATGAAAAAATATGACACTGAATAAAAAATACTTTTAAAACTAAAGCAATCCTGTGTTATCTAACAGTTGAGAAACACAAGAAGGCTAGGTGTTATGGAAACTAAGAAAAACTCAATATATTTTTTTTAAACTCAATATTTTTAAGCCAGTAGTAGGATATGTGCTGTGACTTGAGATTTTTCTCTCACTGGAATTTCTGAATTTGGGCTGGACAATAACTACACACAGAGAAGCTGTAAGCCTCCCTCTTTTCAGGTAAGCCTTCTTTCTTTGAGAATGCATGAGGCAAAGGAGAATATACCAGAACTACCTTCTACCACTTTCCACAGTTAGGGCAAGCTTGGCATGACGACCTGAGATCTTTGAATGGGCGATCTTTGAATGGGCCAGAGCTGTTGACATTGGGGCTGATAGAGAAATTGGCTTACTAATCACTTTCTCATGCAAGAGGCACCCCTCTCCACAAACATCCATACCAAATGAACAATCAATGTCTATAGGCTAGGACAGACGCCTAGTGTCCAGAGTGACACAGGACAGGAATCTCAGTTCTGTTAGTTGCTGTGGCAAACTTGCTTGAGCTTTGGAGTGAAACATCTGCCAGTCTGAGTGTTTACAATGTGGTTAGGTTGTAGAAAGGATCATTCCTCTGGGGTCAGTCTTTACCAGTTAGAATTACCATTTTATCATTAAGCTGTGAAATGAATGCCTACCATAGAAGCAGGTAGTTTTCTCCACACCAAACAGTTAGGAATCTTGCTTTCTGCTGTTGGTTGGTGAAAGCTGGCAGACTGTGCTGTTCCAGGTGTTTCCCCTGGTGCTCTACTAGGTCCTCTTGAAGGGCCTGAACATAACAGACTTCATTTTGTCACTGGCCTCCATCTTATACGTGACCTAAAAGTTACCTCTGCTTCAGAAAAACATGTTTATACTTGTAGAAAGCCACAACATTTCTGAAAATGACCACAAAATGTGCCAACCCTGAAACCGGCAGAACAGAAAACAAGTCAAAATGACCGTTGTCCTTATGCTTACTAAAACAATTATATGTTATCATTATGGTTACTAAAATAGTTATTGTAGATGGTTACAGCTTGCCTCTAACCAATCACTGTGTAACAAGCTCGCTCTTGCTGAATGTCACCCAACCATGTAACTGCCAAGTCTGGAAGCCCCTTCCCCTTACTAAAAACCCTATAAAACCTAGCTTCTTTCTTGGCTTGGGGCTCCTAGCTTCTGACTACTGTGACAGTTCATTCTGGGAGCCAAGATGAAGCCTGTATAAAGGCTCTTTGCTTTTGTATGCGATTTCTGACTCCTGGTGTGGTTGGTGGTCTTTTGGGGTCTCGTGAAGTTGGCACAACACTCTCAAGTACGGCAATCTAGATCCGCAAAGCTGCTGGAGGTCTGCGCTGTCCCAGGAGCCACAGTGCCCTTGGTCATCTTGCTGCTTTTTCTGTACTTGTGTTTTTGTACAAATATCATGTGAGTCTTCCTACCCTCCATCCCCGATTTTTGCCAATTGTCTTGAGTATCCTGGTTACATACAGAAGTAGGTAAGAAAAGGTTATTAAGGCTACTAAAGATGGCTAGGGATATTTTTTTAATTTTTAATTTTTTATGTTAATTAGTTTATTTACTTTGTATCCCAGATGTGGCCCCCTCCCTCAATCCCTCCCAATCCCACCCTCCCTTCCTCATCTCTTCCCTGCCCCTCTCTAAGTCCACTGATGGGGGGGGGGTCCTCTTCCCCTTCCATCTGACCCTAGCTTATCAGGTCTCATCAGGATTGGCTGCAATGTCCTCCTCTGTGGCCTAGCTAGGCTGCTCTTCTGGGGAGGTCAAAGAGCCAGCCACTGAGTTCATGTCAAAGACAGTCTCTGTTCCTCTTTTTTTTTTTTTTTAAAGATTTATTTATTACTTATACAGTACTCTTCCTGCATGTAGGCCTACACACCAGAAAAGCGCTCCAGATCTCTTTACAGATGGTTATGAGCCACCATGTGGTTGCTGGGAATTGAACTCAGGACCTTTGGAAGAACAGCCAGTGTTCTTAACCTCTGAGCCATCTCTCCAGCCCCCCCCACCCCCGTTCCTCTTTCTAGGGAACCCATTTGGATACAGAGCTGCCATGGGCTACATCCAAGTAGGGGTTCTAGGTTATCTCCATGAATGGTCCTTGGTTGGAGAATCAGTCTCAGGAAAGACCCCTATGCCCAGATATATTTGGGATAATTTGGCTTTGGAATTTAAAAAAGATGTTCTGATCTTTCAACAGTATGAAAGTTCAAGTCCCGCAATCAGCTTTGCAAAAGGTTCAGCTGAAGGAGTGATTCTTTCCAGGAACTTTTGTTCATACTGTCACCACTTAGCCCTTAGACCATTTTCTTCCTTCCTTTTTTTTTTTTTTTTTTTTTTTTTTTTTCACTTAGACCAAATGTTGCAAGATGTTGGTGGTGTTAAGTTTGTAAGACACTATGGGCACCACTCTCTCTCAAAGAATAGAGCCAGACTCTGCTGCCAGCACCTCTGACTCTGGCATGATGGCATATTACAAAACAAGATTGGAAAACTGAGAAGGTCACAGGGGAAAGTAGAGGGAAGGGCTCTGGTGATGGCTTGGGAAGAGGGCATGCAAGTGCCTCGAACTCTCTCTGCATGAGAAAACCTTCCTTTCAAACTCGCATTAGCCACATACCACCTGGGGCCATCACCAAGTTCTTGGCTCCCTGATGCCTCTATTTCCTCTTCCGTAAAATAGGAATTATGAGATTTTTGTATGCAGTTCGTTCACTCATTTCAAAGCACTTCAAACTGTGTTGGGCACTTTGGTGGCTATGCTCACTAGTTTTTGTCAACTTGACACAAACTGGAGTCACTGAGGAAGAGGGAAGCTCAGTTGAGGAGCTGCCTCCCTCAGATGGCCTGTGGAGGGTTCTCTTGATTAATGAATCACTGGTGTAAGAGGACCCAGCCCTCCGTGGGTGAAGCCACTCTGGGCAGACGGTGCTGGGTTCTGTAAGTAAGCAAGCCAGCCGCATAAGCCGTGGAGGAAGGCAGGAAGCAGCCTTCCTCCATGGTCTACGCCTCAGTTCCGCACCTGGTTCCTGCTTCTGTTTCTGCCATGACTTCCTCTATGATGGCCTGTGATTGAAACACGTAAGGCAAATCGCCCTTTGCTCTACAAGTTGTTTTTGGCAGTGGGGGTTGACAGAGCAATGGGCAGCTTACTACAAGAGTTACTGTTACTGCTTTTTATTGCCTTATCTTTGTATCTGCGGTGTAACCAGAGTTTCTGGCATTTAACAAACATTTGGTCAGATCTTGCTCATGAGAACCATTGTCCTTCGTTTCTCTAAGTCACATTTCCCTGTGACAGTCTGCTCCTTGCTAAACACAAAAATATAAATTCAGCATTGCCTGATTGTGGCCTACATCGAGATGGATGTTAGAGAAAATTGGCTAAAATATGATTCAGGAAGAGTGAGTTTCACACAAGGAAGAGGGAGTCCATCAGGCAATCTCAGCAAGTGAATCAGTTTCAGTATTCCGCATGGAAAGGATAGTCCTCTTTGTTAATTGTGCTGCAACAACAAACACGAAGGAGAAAATAGTCCGCTGAAGCAAACATATGATATATTCAGCTTTCCCTGTGCTCTTTCAATCTCTTCCCCAACAAGACATGGAGCGGGTGGCATACATGACCTTCTCCCAAATTATGAGAGTAATGTAAAGGAAACAATCAACGACCTGGTCATCAGTAAATTGTCATAACAGGGGTTCACAAGCAAGCTGACACACAGCTGAGGGCTCAGAACCATTGTCTTAAATTCCCACATCACTGTGAAGTGGGAAGTACTATTGAAGTTGACAGATCGGTTATAAGTATTAACTAAGATACTAATAAAAGCAAAGAGCTTAAAGTGTCTGCTATAACCTAAACTAGTGTTCACTGAACATTTGCTGTAATTAATATTGTCATCCCTACTTTGTAGATAAAAAAAAGTGACTCTGTGACATCACCAAGTGAATAAGTGGGTCAGTTATTCTACATTTACTTCTGAGGCTGCCGAATGCATGAGCTCCACATAAACTTCTAGCTGATACCCAGAGGCATAATAAACATGATAACAAACCCTTGATTTTACTAAAATGTTAATGAGATTTTTGTATGCAGTTCGTTCACTCACTTCAAAGCACTTCAAACTGTGTTGGGCACTTTGGTGGCTATGCTCACTAGTCTTTGTCAACTTGACACAAACTGGAGTCATTTGAGTTGTTCAAGCAAAAGCAAAACAAACAAAACAAAAAAACTATATTGAACTGTTAATTTTTTTTTTTTGGCAAATTAAATTGACTGCATGCTCCCATTTATCTAGTTGTGGTCTCCCTCATTCCCTCCCCCACACCATTGTCCAGGGCCAGTGGCTGTCATCTTTTCCATGGGTTATTATAGTAGTCTCTCAATGCACAGGCCTTTGTGAATCTTTTAAGACATTTCAAATCATGCCAGCCTCTGCTCAAAATTTCATCATGGCTTGCTTACTCCTCCTTTATACCTAAAAAAACAAAGACTTGTCCAGAATCTGTACTACCTGCATAAGCTTAACCTAAAGTTGCTCAACCTTTTTTTTTTTTTTTTTTTTTACAATAAATAACACTTACTCATCCCACTATATTCTCTATCCTTTCTCAAGTGCTCTGAACACGTTACACCAGGACCCTTGCAATGCTCGCTGTGATGGCTATTTCCGTAAATATCAATGTTACTCATTTTTTACTTTCTTCAGGTGTATCTTTATCACCAAAGCTTCCCTAGATAGTCATGTGTCAATGCCTCTGTTACCCAGGGCTCACTACTTCCTGTGCTTTTTGCCCTATTTCATTTTTCTCTATAGCATTTGTTACTCTCTGACATACATATTTGGAGTTACCTCACTTTTCCCCTCTGTAGAATATAAGACCGGGAACAGGAAGTTTATGTGTGATGTCCTGAATATTTAGATCATTCCTGGCACATAGCACATGATAGTGAGTTACTGAGGGAATGAGAGCTTGAGAACTTCTAACTCCCACATAGTAATAACTCCTTCCTCAAAAATCTTAGCTCTGTGTGCAATATTCAGAAATTGAGTGTCAGATAACAGTGTCTTTACTCTTAGTGATTCCCCAGGACTCAAACTCTAATTTTTTACAACTGCCAAAAAAAAAAAAAAGTATTTGAAGACAAAAGTCTTCCTGAAATCTCACATGCCTTCTGTTCCTTTCTACTAATGCTTTAAAAAACCTCAGAAAAAGGCCTGATCAACAGGTTAGGTAAGTGGTACCTAACCTGGTACCACTTACACGAACAGGACAGGGCCTCTCAAGTTTCTGTTCAAGCTAAGAATGGTGGCCATCTCCTCATCACTCAACTGGAAGTCAAAGACCTAGAAAAGCAAAAGTTCCAAAAACATCCTTAGTAAGGAACGTGTTGGTGGGAATCTGAAGTTCTAGGTGTTTCCCCTAATATGCCCATGGCCAACACATTCTCGGAATTAAGAGTAAATTATGTGTAGAGTTTAGTGTTCTAAGAGGGAAGAGATTGGGCTTGTAGGTGTGCTAAATGTGTACAATGACTGTGACTCCTCTCAGAGGACAGTTTTCAAGCCCAGTCCATATATCTACAAGCCAGTCTGCAGTTGGTCATCACAATGCTTGGCCTATGATCTCAGTGCTCAGTGGTATAAGGCACAGGCTTTGATCAGTCCTGACAGGGCTTTGCTGGTACCTGCTCCAGTCCATCCCTGGCCAACTGGTGATCATCTCAGTTCTGGTGGGGCCAGCCTTCTGGCTAAAGAGTTGATAAAGTGCTTGGAAGAAGGGAAGACATATTAGCAATAAAGGGGTGGGATGAGAAGTTGAAGGATAGGAACCCTTCTTCCCCATCATCTGTTTCACTGAGGACTATGAGATGAACAGCCCAGGTCTTACCTTGAATGTTCTCTGCTATGCGGGAGGGTGTCACAGACTTGGGGATCACGGCCACATTCCTTTGGATGTGGAACCTAATCAGAACCTGTGTATGAAGAAGAGAAGAATGCAGGTGTCCAGTTATCTTCCAGAACTCCTCCTGGCAAAATGACAACTACCTAAGTAGCTCCCTATGGCTTAACAACAATATTAATATTGACAAAGCGCTTCACTGTTGAGGACATTTCCCAGCTCCCTTCTTGCGTCCCTTGATCCTGGAAACAACACTATGATTTTCCTAGTTAGGAATGAGGAGGGAAGCCTCATAGACATAAGGCTGAGATCCTGTACAACTGGCACCTGAACCAAAGCCTGAGGCCTTAGCAGAAGCTGATGGGCAGAGGCAGGCCTTGCTTCGCTGATACTGGCTGTCTATTCTGAGGCTTCCAACAGGCTACAGTTCCCATTTCTGACTCTCCAAGGGATTAAAAGCAAGAAACACAGTTAGGCACACAACTACAAAAGTGGATTTTGAGATAAAAGGAAAAACACTCCATTTTACCTGAGCTGTTGTTTTTTTGTGCTTTGCAGCAATCTCTTTGATCTTGGGAATCGCCAGTACTACAGGGTCCTCTGGCTTTGCACTAGAGAAAGAAAGAAAGGTTGCCGGAGTGGAAATCGCTATGGCTACAGCAGGTCAGTGAGCAGCGCTTCCAGGACAGTGTCGAGGCTGAGCATTGCAGCCTTTCTTTTCCCTCTGCTAGGCAGGCAGGGGGATCTGAAAACTTTGTGTCTGGCTTCAGGCATGGGCTCTAGTTGCGTTAGCACTTTGAGAAGACTGCACTGCACTGGATGGTGGAAACCGAGTATTCCAGGGAGTCAGATATACTACCAGTTTTAAAACATTGTACCCGGAAATCCCAGGGTTGCCAAACACATTGCCATTGGTACACTTTTTCTTGTGCCTTGGGAATTGCAGACTAATATTAGCAAACTGTGAAATGATACTTTTAAGAGTGATAAAAGAGCTAGCTCTCTGAAGCCTTACTGAGGTCTGTCTGGGGAGCCCAGAGGGCTGTAGGCTGTGACGGTGATGCTCTTGGAGTGACAATACTGGATCAGTTTTTCCTGAGTCAGGTAGGGGTGGCATTTGACCTGCCAGAGAGAACACCTCCATTATTAGGGAAGTAGGCCTCTTCCATACAAGCAAAGACAAAGACCAAATACAACCCACTGACAGATGAGCTACAAACCAGACCCAGAGATCTGCCTCCCACCTCGCTGAGCATCCTGAACATTGATCCCCGAAAGAAGGCTCAGTCCATTGTCCTCCCAGGGCTGAAGCAGGCACAGAGCAGGACCCTGCACCAAACAGAATGTACCTGGTTGGTCACTGGCTTATGTTTCAGTCCAGGCTTGTTCAGGAGCCTTTCAATCTGGAAGTGGTTGAAGTTGGAGACGAATAAGGGCTTTCACCAGCCCCTGGTCCACCAGTTCCTCCATGCCCTGTCACAGTGAGGAATGTCATTTAGGTGGCTGTAGGAGGATTTGGGGATGCTGGCATATTTAGTGCTTGGATAGGAATGGCTTCTGCATGGCACGGTTAAGAGGAGTACTAAAGGAGAGTTTTGCTCTAGTGCTGTTATGGCTGCTTTTAGCCCTTCTACTCCCCCTCCTCCCCAGCTCAGACATAATGAGGAAGGAGAAGGAAGGTTTTACTTGTTGTCTGTTCTTGACAAAAGTGACTGACATAAATTGAGTGACATGGGTTATCCAGGAGATGGTCACAGTGTAAAAAAAAAAAAGTCTCCATGGTCTTTCTTTTTGTTTTATATTTTGTACTATTAGGGAGTGAGTCTATGGCCTCTTGTGTGCTAGATAGGCAATTCACCATTGTTCTACAGTCCACCGTTGAGCTATGTCTGTAGTTCCATCCCTTTTTCATTTTTTCAATTTTGAGCTAGAGTCTCTTTAAGTTATACAGGTTGGCCTCGAACTTACTCTGCAGTCCAGACAGAATTTGAAATGTGTTCTTCATGGCTCAGTCTCTAACACAGCTGTGATTACAGGTAGACAGTAAGGAATGCCTTACAGATATATGGGCCCTCGCAGGGGCACTTAGTCTAGACCTGGGTGACCTCTCATCTGACCCACTGGCCACTTGTCCAACACAAATTACATCCATCCAAGGATCTGGGGTTTATTTATTTATTACCTAAATACAATGAGCTTGTTCTAAACACTCCCAGAGGTAATTATGCGGCCTGATAGGGACAGCCACACCATGAACATAAATTTATAACTCATTCATTCTAAGTTCCTGTCTATATTCTGTTGCCAGAATGTAAACATATACAATGTTCCTCCTGCTGGAGATTCTTACAGCCAAGTGCAAGTGCTAGGGTCTCTATCGCGGAACCACCAGATCAGCGCTAGGCTGCCTCAGCTTACTTGACATCAAGTCGCATAGGGATGAGGGAGGAAAGGAAGAAATCATCTGATCCCTGGAGAGTCATCAGAAGGAGAGTTTAAATTGGGCCTGAAAAGAAAAATTAACATGAAGGTAGTAAATGAACAGATGAGGGGGCAGGAACAAGGGCTTAGAGACAGGCACAGCAGGGTGGCATGTGGTGTCTCCTCTTTGGCTACAACTTGGAATACTCTGACAGGTCTGAAAGAAATAGATGTCTAGGCTCCACTCCCTGGCTTCTGAGGATTTCCCTAGGGCTGCAACGTAGGCATTTGGATGTTTAAATTCCTCTAGAGATTCTGGTAACAAAGTTAAAAACCACAGCATGCATGGATGAGGAAGGATTTTACTAGCGGGGTAGTTTAACGTTGATGAGACAAAGGCCAGTGGGCAATGAGATACTGTGAGTTTTCTTCAGGTTTGCAATTACAGTGATTCTCCTTTGCCTTTTTTAGATGGTGTTCCCTAGAATTTGTATATTGTGGGTCCACAGAACTGTCACATTGCTGACTATGAAGTCTCAAACCCTTGGACAAATGGCTGAGATGCCTATTTAACCTGGCCACCAGGTTCTCCCAGAATCCCTCAGTCTGTAACTGTTACAGGGTATGGCTGGCATACCTTACCCTTAACCCCAAACTCTCCAGCTCAAGGACTGGACGGCCCTTCCCCCGACGTTCTTCCCTATATAATTCAGCCATTTTGGTTACCCACCCTTTTACATTTTTCCCTCTTGGCTACTGCACCTGGTTTACCTCTCTCCCACTTCCCTTCCTCTCCATCCTCTCCTCACAGGCTCAGGGTCAAGTCCATTCTGGACCTTCTAAATGTCTCTGCCTCTGCCTATGTCTTCTTTTTATCTATAACAAACTTTCTCCTCCACCCTACCTAGGATCAGTCATGTCCTTCCTTTCTATCTTTTTTTTTTTTAATTCACTGACACACTCAGTCCTTCTGTCAGTCAGAGCTTCTGACTTGGTTTGTATTGGATTTCTGTGGGTCCATAGATTTGTTGCATTGCTGTCATACTTAGTCCTGTTGGTGTCTATCAGAGCCTCTAACTTGAAGCAAGATATTTTTTGTTTCTGAAAGTGTTTCATGGGACCAGGGGAATGTCTCCATTGGTAAAGGTCCTTGCTGCCAAGCCAGACACTCTCAGTTTTTTCCGGGAATCTATATGGTAGAAGGAAAGAAGGTACTTCTGATAGCTGTCCTCTGACCTTCCCAAGTACCTCCACATCCACCACTTTAAAGGGAAAAGGGAGATCTGGAAAATAATAGTCCTAAAATTGTAAACGAAGCACTTGAGCTTTTTCACACCAGATTGAAGTCTCTGAAGGAGCCTGAAAGAGGATTTTTAACCCTGAGCACACTTGAAAGAAGCTGGAACCTACCTCCCAGGCATCCAAGAATGTGGATTTACTCATGAGAACTTTGCCTTTATCATCTGTGGGTAATATTTCATTCCCAGCCTGTAAGTGAAAAACAAAGAGCTCACTAGAGTATGCATGTAGATGCCTGAGCCCCTGGAGAAGTGGCTCAGGACAGTGAAAACAGAAATACCCTTGCCTTCACAGCACTTGGTCAAACTCTAGAGAGCTCGCATAAAAACAGTAATCTTCAATACAATGTCTGTATCAATCTACCATGGGATGTGAGTTTCTTATTTCTGGTAATGCTGGATTGGCTCCAAATCCATTAGCATATTAAAGTAGCCATCATTATCATCATGGAAATTAACCAATTTTTAATTTCAAGGTCACTAGACAAAGGTTACATTAGAAGAACATGGGTATCTGGGGAAGAGAGTAGCCAACTTCTTCTAACCTTGCAGCCTTGAGAAGGCTGAAGTTTTGGAGACCGTGAAGGTAACAGAATGAGAATTCACATTCCCCAAATTCTTAGGAGTAGAGCCCCAGACACTTGACAGTAATTGTTCAGGTTCAACTGCCTAACACCGATATCACCATACTTGGAGGTCACTCCCTGGGCATACTTTGATTAATAACGAATTATGCAAGATTATCTCCAGACATTCTGCCTAGGGCACTCCTGGGCATGGATTTAACAGGAAGGTGACTGGCTGGTTGCAGCTTATCTGAGCTGATGGCATAAATTATTGTTTCTTTCAAACACAGTTGCAAAAACCCAAGCATGTGGCTCACCAAGTACTACCTGGTACCTTAATCTCTACTCCTCAACAGTGTCTCTTCTGCCCTGCACAAGATCTTCCGGGGACCAGAGAGATGGCTCAGCAGATAAGAGCACTTTTTGCTCTTTCAGAGGACCCAAGTTTGGTTCCCAGCACCCATGTGGTATTTAACAACTATAAGTAATTCCAGTTCCCAGAGACCACATGCTCTCTTCTGATCTCCACAGGCACCAACCATGGACATGGTGCACATACATACATACAAATAGACAAAACACTCATGCACAGAAAATAGATATAAAAAAATCTCCTGCTTCATTCCTTCATTCCAGTGTCACAGTCTTGGCACAGAACCCATTTGGTGGCATCTCCCAGAAGATAGAAATGAGGCAAAGAACAGCTCAAACCTGAAGTCCCTGTGGTCAGTGAATTAGATACAGGTCCAGATAGTCCAGTTTCAGATCTGAGAGGGTTTTCTGAAAGGCTTTCTTCACCAGGCTTTTCTCAAAGAAGGTGGCCCACAGCTGCAAGATGTGACAAGGAGACATTAGGACTAGGGAGAGAAGGGCCAGCCACCGTCACTCTCCCTGCTCTGGGATTTGTAAACCCTAGGACAAGCCATTCATTCATAATACAACAAATAAGGAATGCACCTCAGTGGGTCTTCAGCTCACAACCAGTCATTTCCTAACTGTTCTTCTATGCTCTTGGTATGCTTTTTGTTTCTTGGGTCACTTAACATAGTTGCCCACTGCCTAAAATGTTATGCCTTTCTGCGGCTCTCATTTCTCAGAGGGCAACAGCTGTTTCTGGCTCTTAGAGTTCAAGCTCTGGCCCTTTTAGTCCTCCCTCAGCTCCAGGCCTGTCAGGTCCTGTGATGAATGACAATGAGTATATAGTTGTAGCCACTCCAACATTGTGTGTGTTTGCATGTGGAAATTTACCTAGAGATGTAATGAAGACAGGGAAAGGGGCTAGGAGACATACAGGTATAAAGGAAATAGCTAATAAGCTCTTCAACCTGGCCATACAGAGATACTTGTACCTGCCTCAAATTCATGTCCACCAAGTGGGTCACCGTACCTTGCTGACAATGAAGAGGTCTTCCCGCTTCACAGCCTTCTCTTTGATCTTCTCTTGGATCCCTTCTCCCACTTCATTCTCATTCTGATACACATAGGCACAGTCGATGTGGCGATACCCAGCATCAATGGCTGCCTTCACAGCTTCCTTGACTTTGCCTGGGGGAGACTGAAAGGCAATGGAAAAGAGCATTAGATGTTCCCAAAGCCCCCATCTTAAAGGCTCCACATAGACCAGATTCTCAAAACCATAGCATTTCTGGAGTCCCATTTCCAAGTGAACATTGGAGAGGAAGACATACACTGGGAAACTTTTCAAAGAAAAAAAAAGATGAATTTATTTCATTAAATGTTTACGTTAGCATATGAAGTGATGGATTTCATCATGGCATCTTAATAACGTCACTGCAATGATCATCACCCATGTCCTAGTCTAGTCCAGGTTGATCTTGAAGTGTCTCCGGTTTCTGAGAGTGACAGATGGCTCGCCTTGCAATGTGCTAAAGGCCAGGCTGAAAACTAGATTCTGAAGAGACCAAAAGGAATTCTCAGACTCCAGACACTAAGAAGGATCTTAAAAACCATTATAGCAACCTAATTTGAACTCTACTATGGTACAGTAAGAGGCTGAGTGGATTCCTCAATTTCTCTAAACCCTGACAGCAAAACATAGCAACAATTATGAGCTGGCCCCAGGAGGCCTTTGTGTTGCTTGCTGGCCACAAGATCGTGAAGTTTTTCGCATATCACCTGGAACTTAGTATGGCTGGGTGGATGCAACCCAATATGTAATCACTGTTTCCGAAAAAAGAAGAAACAGAAAACTGTTAAGTAGGCACCTCTTCCTTTTGTCCCAGGTTTTAAACCTAACATATCCTTTATAACAGTGGATTCTCTCCCCACTGATAACAAAGCAAGAGAAGAGAATATTTGAAATGTCATCTTCTGTCCTAACCTAGCCTAGCCAGGCATTGGTTTAGGAAAATAAGTGCTGAGAACTCATGTCTCTGTGGAGTATAGTGCTACGTGCCTGTAATCCCACTGTGAGAGGCACAATGCAGAAGGGGCATGGCTTTGAGGCCAGCCTGGGCACATTACCATTGTATTCAAAACACAACATCTTGCTGGATTTGTTAGCCCATGTTTGCAATCCTAGCATTTGGGAAGTAAAGAGTGGGTGAATCAAGGTCAGTCCACCCACATAATGACTTATAGGCCAACCTGGCTACATAAGACGCTCAAACAACAGCAAATAAATAATGCTTCATCTCTCAAAATCCAAAGTTTTTTTTTTTTTTTTTTAAGTATCAAACCCCGAGAAGCACATAAAGCAGAGGTCACTAGCTATTCGGTCATGGGGACAAAGAATTGGCAGAAGCTCAAACACACTGGGGTCCAGGCCCAGAGCATGACCCTCCTGTATATTCACTGATGAGCACAGCATCCTTCCAGTAGCACCTTGACCCCTTTACAGTATTTAGATCTGCTTTAGAAAGTCTGAAAGTTTATCTCTTCTAAATTTATCCATGGTGAGTGGATTCCCTGGAGATTTGTGATCACCTGCTACCTTGATGGAATGTGGAATTTCTAATCTGGTTACAAGTCTCAGTACTCTAGGAAGATTCCAGTCTAGTAGGGAAACAAAGAGGAACCCTACCCATTGTGCAAAGAAGAAAGGAGAAACAGAGGAGGAAGACTGACAACGAGTCTCTGAGACAGGAGAGATGGGTGCCCAAACCACTCCTGACCCAGGGATGAAGAAGATACCTCAAGAAACTGAGGCAGGGGGGTTACTCCAAGCTCTCCTAAGGTCAGTTTAGGTTCCAGAATAAGGCCCTGTCTCAAGAAACCAAAATCAAAACTAAAAACTGCTCCTGGAAACAGCTCTAAAAATAGCTTTAAAAAGCTAAAAAATAACTAAAAATAGCTCCTGGCTATTGTCATGTTATCACTGAGAGAAAATGCAAAGAAGGTAGAGTTAGAAGACGATGGAATGATGTCAGACTTGTCCCAATATTTCCTGGGAAATCTGCTTTGCTGAGCAATAGGATGGAGCCAGGGAACAACTTGCCAGCAGAGATTAACACAGCTGGGGCAGAACCTGAGCTGACTCCCAGCCCAGGCTCTGTGGTCCCCATGCTGCTCAGAGTTTAATGTGTGTGGGAATTACTCAGAGTCTTGGTAAAGTGCAAGGGTCAGTTCTGTTCAGCCTGGGCTGGGACCTAAGATTCTGTCTTTCCAACAGGCTCCCTGGCCACTTTTATCTTTGGTCTTCTTTTATCATGAGCAGAAGAGGGAGCAAGGCCATTCAGAATTCTATGCTCTCTCCCAGTCATTCAGAAGAGCCTCTGACTTCCAAGGAGAAGCTTTCTAAAAGAGTAACTACCCTGAAAATAGTTTTCTCTCTAAAGTATAGTACCAACTTAAACCTGATACCAGCCATGGAAGCTATTGTCATTTCTGGGAAAGGCTTATCTTGGAACTTTCCAACCCAAAGCAGCCCCAGATGAAAGGGCATTAGGGTTCCAAACCCAAGGCAGATGCTGTGCAAAGAAGGGAAAATGCCAAGACCCCTTCCCCTCAAAGGAAGCAGGTGTTCCAGGATTGCACACTCACCTTCCAGGTGCCCAGGCCCACAATGGGCATCTTGACTTTGGTACTGAGCTCCACGATTGCTGCAGAGACTTCTCTGAGAGAGCAGATGAAATGCCTGCTTCCTGGATAAGAAGTCTGGTGAAGTTTTTATTTCCTAGACAAAGGAGGCGGGCTCTTATGGCTTTGGCAAGCAGCCACAGCCAAGAGTTGGGCACTAGAACAAGGGTTCATTCCAGTCTTTTGTAAGACTGATTAATGTGTCCAAAGATTAAACTCTGCACAGTGCAAACTCCACTGGTGCAGAATGTGTGGTTTCCTGGAAGTGAGGCTCAGAGTTTTGTGAACCTAAATAACATGGTTGAAAGGTCATCCAAGATAGGTTGGTAAGCTTATTTGTGAAGGGACATTGCCACGTGAGTGACTATAACTCTAGTGAACTGTGTGGTGTTCAAGCTGTTTGAGGGAAATGTCAAAGAAAAATGAGACGTCTTATAGTAACTATTTTGAAGCAGATTGTCTTTGACCAGAGAATTAGGAACAAGGGGACATCTGTTACAGAGGAAACTGACAAGTGACCTAGTGGAAAGGGTATTTATTTATTTATTTACAGTTATCTTTTGTAGGTCGTGGACACCTTTGTGCCAGGTTGTGGTTTTGGAAAATGTCTGCAATTTAATTTGTATTAATGCAATTTCTGTCAGATTGTTAGGCAAAGATTTCCCTGAGGATGAAAATTACCTGCTAAATCATTTGGACAAAATCTTTTACTAATAAAATGCCCTTCCTTTTCTTCATTTCTCCTTTCTTTTCTTTTCTTTCCATCTCCATTTCCCCTTTTCCTTCCTTCCTCTTATTCTTTTCTTTCAGATTTGGGATTTAACCAATTGTATTTATGATGAAGCTTTAAAAATTGTGCCTGATTTTAAAAAACTTTTGTGATTATAAAATGTCATGTACTCAACTATGAAAAAATATGAAAAACAAAGGTTGTTTATGGAGGTGAGAATATAAAGCTCAATTATTCTCGTCACTCAAATTGCCATTCCCAGTGCTATTTTCTTCTGTGTTTGCATGTGTTATCAATACTTTCTCTGAGCATATGTCTCTTAGTTCTTATAAATTATATATAAATTAACTTTATAAAACAAACTTTTTGAGCATTAATAACAAGTCATTTCAATTTATTTATTTTTACTTTTGTGTGTGTCCATCATGTATGTGCAGGCTCTTTTATAGTCCATAAGAGGATTGGAGCTTTACAGGTAGTTGTGAGTCACTGGATGTGGGTGCTGGGAATTGAACTTGCAGCCTTTGTTAGAACAGCCTTTTCTCATAACTGCTGAACCTTCCTTCCAGCCCTAAAACACCATTTTAAAAATACTTTTACAACAAACATTTTAATGGTTATAAAAGGTTTGGTTTTGTGGACATTTATTTGGCTATTTCCACTGTTCTTAGATATTTAGCTAGTTTTCAGTTGCTTTATAATAGGAATAAGCTATATTTCAAGGTATGTTATTGTAGGCATTTAATGAAAGTCCCACATCTCAGGACACTGACAATTACTGCAATAGATAGCCAGGTATGTGCTTTGCCGGGAGCCAAGGCCAGCTAGTGGAAAGTTACAGACAGCTGCAACAAGGTCGTAGGTGAGAGATTTACATTTCCGGAACCTATGAGACATCTGTGTGTCAGGCTAGACATTTTGAGATATCTTAGCTGACATTCTTGTAGTATCTCTTTTAGTAAACATTCTTGCGGTGTTCTGCATCATCATTAATCACCCTCTTATGTTTTGTAAACTATATTGCTGACACATTTTCCCTTCCTGCCTTCTCCCTGTAAAGTTGTGTGAATTTTTTTTTCAAATAAACAAGAGCAAGATCAGATTATAGACTTGCTCTCATTCTTTGTGTCTCCTTGTCTCTATTTCATTCTTTTCGCCCCTCCTTAGGAACTCGTTGAACTCCCGCTGGACGGGACAGCGCTTTCTATGAGCCAGGTGTGTGTATTCCATGAGTCTCGGCACATGGGATTGCTGAGGATTGTAGGATCTGGCTGAAAGAGAACCCCACCTAGCCACCAAAGGCAGCTGGACTGGTAAAACAATGCAGTGTGCTAGCATAGACTTGTCACAGTCAAGTAAGTTAGATTCTGGGAGTAGGCTCTGGGGAGAGTCTGGACAGTGATGTGGGCATCTCAGAAACCTGTACACATGGCTCACCACATCAAAGACCAGCTATAGCAGCCAGGAAAGCTAAACATCAGGTAGAAATCACAGCCCTGCTTCGTCTCGCACTGAGATATTTTTACATGCTCCCTTCCTCTGAAATCCCACTGACACCTGGAAAGAGAAGGTCCTAGATGCAGTAGATTTTAATCCAGAAATAAATGGGAGTAAACTGAAGTTCAGAAGGAGGCAAGAGCAGCAAGTAAACTAGGTCAAAACTTCATTTGTGTTAAAGATCCTGTAGATTGCTTTGCCTTGGCTGACTAGAAAGTCACCATTGTGGGTAGTGGGAATGTTGGAGGTCAAGAGCTAGAGGTGCTTGGGTGATGTAGAGCCCCACTTATTGTCTACTTGTTACCTGCATGACATCCTCATGAACTTTCAACAAACCTCTGGGAATGTACCTCTGAACTGGATAGCCTCTGATCACCACCTGAAGATGTGACAACCTCTGAATCCTATGGAAGAGCTCTCTCTGCTTTCCTGTAGTCCACTTACTAATGACTCCACCTGTATAACTGCTGGTGTTTTTGATTTGTGGCTTTGTTTTTTATCTTTTAAGATTTATTTTTATTTCTAAATTGTGTGTGTGCAGGTGTCCTTGGAGGCTACAAGAGAGCATCAGGTCCTGTGGAGCCAAAAGTATAGGCAGTTGTGAACTCTACTATGGGTGCCAGGAACCAAACTCAGGTCCTCTGCAAGAGCAACATTGCTCTTAACAACTGAGCCATCCCTCCTGAACCTATTTATTTACTTGATACCGGGTCTCATGTGCCCCAGAGTGACCTAGAACTCTATCATGTAACTCAGGGTGACCTTGAAATTTTGATGTTCTTACCTTTACTTCTCAAGTGCTGAGGTCATAAGCATGTATCGCCATGATTGTTTTTGGGGTGCTGGAGAGTGATCCCAGGCCTTCATACATGCTACCCCATCTCTTAAGGTCTCCACAGCTCTGTAATGGAGTGTTGTGGGGTTTGCTTAAGTCCAGCATAACTCAAACACCAGGTCAATGCAGATAACATAAATTTATTATACTCAAGCCACTACTGATCTGTCAGGGCAGAACAGACTCAGGAGCTGAACTGTGACACTGAAGGGATGTTGTTCAGAATATTTAAAGGATAAAACTAGAAAGCAAGGAGGATCAGGGTGGGCTGTAGCCTTGTCTAATCGTATTTTGACATAAGGGGTTGAGCAAGGAAGTTTTCAACAACAGGAGAAGATTATGCTCCTGGGCCTGGGAACATGAACTTAATTTGGCCCTGCCAGTAAGATAGAGAAGTTGTCCTGGAGGTGGCTGGACTTAGACAATGGTTTCCTTACAATAGAAGCTGTTAAGCAATTGAGAAGTCCCAGCTTCCTTAGGGACCTTAGTTTCTCCCTATGGTTAAATGTAGTCTGAAAACAAAATGGTAGTACTTAGAATAAGTTTCTTTGGCTTGTTCCCAACAAGAGAAAAATTTAAAGCAAATTCTCTAATACCTGGGCCTTCTAAACCCATACTATTGCAGGGATCCTAAAGGAAAAAGCTTTTAGAGTCCAAAGATATCTTAAATTGACCCTGGCTCTGTGTTGGTGTATCCTAACAGCAGCCAGCTAGAGTGTATTTTGTGTCATAACCCGCCTCCACTCACACCATATCAAAGCCATATGTTAGCATTTATGCCATGGATTTCTTTCTGAAGACTTCTGTCTTAGAGTTTCTATTGCTGTGAAGAAAACCATGGCCACGGCGACTCTTATAAAGGAAAACATTTAATTGGGGTTGGCTTACAGTGCAGAAATGTAACCCATTGTCATGATGGCAGGAAGCATGGCAGCATGCAGGCAGATATGGTCCTGGAGAGGTAGCTGAGAGTTCTTCATCTGGATCCAAAGGCACCAGGAAGAGAATAAAGGGACTCCGCTCTGCCCAACTCGAGCGTGGCAGGCCTTGGGTTTGCCAGGCCTTGCCCTTTTCCTCTAGTCCCTCAGATCTTGCTCAGAACAAAAACAAAAACAAAAAAACCCAAAAAACTAAATTACATTCCTAAATATAGCCACCAAGTTCTATTCTCTTATTTGGCCCTTCCTTCTCTTGAGGCTGACCACCAAGGTCCAGCTATCAAAGTACTGAAGTCCAGCAATCAAAAGCTCCATTTGACTCACCTAATTAACATGCCCAATTAAAACTAACCACCTCATCCTAAAACAGGGCTTCCTATTTTACCTTTATAAACTACCATTTTCCTGTGGGACATGTCTATCTCCTCTCTAACCAGGGTCAGGTCTTTGACCCTCAGGACAAATACTCCTCCTCCCTTTCCCTTGTTCCTTTCCCCTCTTCCTTCTTCCTCTATCACCTGTTTTTGTCTCTTATCCCTGTCCTCTGTCAGTCTGGGGCAAATAGATCTCCTTTGTGCTGATAACCTGAGCTGATACTTTTCTTTTCAGAGAGTGAGCCACTAGGCCTGACTTGAGCCTCAAAGCCCAACCCTAGTGACACACTTCCTCCAAGAAGGCCACATCTACCCTGACAAGATCAAACCTCCAATAATGCTAACCCCTATGATCCCTATGAGTCTATGGGAACCATTTTTCATTTAGAACGACACAGCTTCTCTGTCCTCTCCACCTCCAATTTTGTGGTAGCCTCTCTGTCTTTGAATCTAGCCTCAGTTTAAGCTTCTCCCAATGAAGGTCTTCTCCAGGTTCTAAAGGAAAGCTTAGCAAAGGGCCTTGTTCTGCTGCTTTTGATATATGATCATTTCTTTCAAATGCTCTCCCTGCTCAAGGCTGGATCATAGCGTTGGGACCCTTTTTCCTAATAAGGCTAATTCCTGGAAAGTAATTACTTTCCAGCAACTGCTGTCACTTGGTAGTCACAGTTAGCAGAAAGCAGCCCTCTTCTTATCTCACTTAGGCCTTTTGTCCA